GTGGGGGGGGGGGGGGGGCTCGCTTCGAGAGTGGGCGCTCTGCTCCCTGCTCCCTCCAACTCAAGGACAGGCGGGCGGGCAGTGGGAAGGCAGATTTGGGGGGGGGCGGGGGATTGTGGAACAGCAGACTCCCCCCTCCTCAGCTCCACGCACCCATTATCCCCAGCGCTTCCTCTGCCCCTCCAGGGGAGGAAGGCCTTCCTTCGCAGGTGTCTCCATCACCCTGTGGAGTGTCACGAGGGCACCCCCCTCGCCACCTGCCATCCTGCCCTGGCGTTGGCTTCCTTGGGCCGCCTGCATTATGGATGAGGCGCCGTGACAAAGAACGTGGCTCCAGTTTCAGCCGGGCGTTGGTGGCAGGGGTAGTGGGGAGGAGGAGGAGGAGGAGGAGGAGGGAACTGGGATGAGGGTGGACGGGGGGGCCCTGTCTCTCCTGCCGCACTGCCCAAAGGGGGTCCTCCGGCTGCCCCTTGGCGGGCTCCTGGCATGGGTCTCCCCCAGGGCCCTCGGCCAGTGTGGGGGCGTGAATCCCATCCCTGCAGGCCTGGAGTGAGGTTTGGACCCCAAATGGTGCTGGTGATAAGAACGGCTCTCTCCCTTGGCATGAGTCGGGGGGGGGAGCTGCAAGGATCTGGGCCGCTGTGGGGCCGCTTCCCACAGCCCTGCCCTGATTCCCCCTTCCTGTGTCACCACCTTGGGGCAGATGGACAGCCGATGGGTGTGCCCAAGGCCCCCTTTGGCCAAGGAGGGTCAGGGGGGGCAGGCTCCGCCTTTAGGCCAGCAAGTGGCTGGAGGTCCTCGGAACGGGGGGGGAGTCAGGGGGATCATTCCTGATGGGGACCCCTGCCCCCCCCAGGGCTCGCGGAGGGACAGCTGAGCCTCCTTTGGCCGAGACTCTGGCCCAAGGTGCTCCTCCGGGGCCAGACGGGGCCGCCACCGCAGCTGGGCGCAGGTTCCGATGCCTCCGGCTCCCGCTCGGCACGTGTCTCTCCCGCTCGGGACTGGCAGAGACGGAGGAAGGAGGCTGGCCGGGAAGGAACGTGTCGGTGTGCGGATGCTGGGAGCTCTCGGCAGAAAGAACAAGACAGGTTGGGGGGATCGGGGTCCGGGGGCCGCAGGGCTTCTCCCCCTTCCCCACCGCTGCCTTCTGGAGTGGCTCTGCTCTGCCCTGCTCTCCCCCCCCAACCCTCCGCCCTTCCCTCTTCCTCCTCCTCCTCCTCCTCCTCCTCTTCGGTGCACGCTTTAATCTGCCAGAACCAGGTGCACGGTGGTGGCAGCGGGGCGGCGTGGGAGGGGAGGACCGCAGCCGAGGCTCGCGTTCATGCAGGCGGCCTGGGACCTCCCGGCGGGAAAAGGAGCCCCCACCCCAAAGGGCTGTGCCGGTGAGTGGACGGAGCTGCTCTCTTTCACCTTTTTGGGCTGCACAGCTGCGTGATGGACGCGGGGGGGGGAGAAGAGGGGACGCCCAGCAGCCCCAGGGAGTGTATGTGTGTGTGTGTGTGGGGGGTTTGAGGGTGGAAAGGGAATGACAGGAGAGTGGGAGGCACCAGGTTTGCATGCGGGGGAGGGGAGACTCTTGTCTTGGGAACGAGGGACGGTGGCGAGGGAGCCCCCACCCCCATCCTGATCTCTGGATCTCCCGCCACAGCCCTCGGGAAGAAGCCGGAGCGCATGGTCTCCTGCTTTCTTCTTCCTGGTCTCCCCCTGGGAGGGAGTGAGGGGGCTGAGGGGCTTCTTGGGGGCAGCCCCCAGTGCGGTCGGGAGCCTCACCCCTCCCACCAACCAGTGGTGCCCCTCGCACTGCCCCTTCTCCCACCTTGAGCATCCTTCTTCCCCAGAAAGGGAGGGGGGTACCTTGTTCTCTGGGGCACGTTTCCACCTGCCCCCCCAGGCCTGGTGGGGGCCAGGAGGAAGGCTGCTCTCTCCCTCGTCGGAGTGGCTCTCCCCCCCTCCTGCCCCATACCTTGGGGAGGGGTCAGACTCCAACCAACCCCCCCATCCTTCAGAGACCATCCCCTGCTACCCACCCTCCACCCAGTCAGGTCAAGCCCCACTGACCAGCTGCCCTCTCGGGTCATGACCCACTGGCTCTCCCTCCCTCCCTCCTCCTCCTCCTCCTCCTCCGGGCCTCTGCCCACCCACAGCCCGGGACAGGCCTGGGGGGGGCAGTGCTTTCCTCCCTGGGGGCCAGGAACCCCTTTGGGCTGCCCCCCAGCTGTGTGGTCCCCATGGCCCTCTTTGTGGCCCTTCCCTTCCTTCTCTCCCAGGTGGGCCAGCAGCCTCGTTTGGCCCTTCCTTTCTGTTTCTGCCCCACACACATACACAAAGGGAGGGGGAAGGCTTCCTCCCTCTTGTGACCGATGCCCTCTTAACCTTGGCCTGCACAGGGACACACACACACACACACACACAAATCTAAGACTATCACAAGTGGTGGTCATGGCCCTCGGAGCTCCCCCTCCGGCTTGTCGTTTCCCGTGTGGGGGCTCAGCCCTACCGAGGCTGCCTTGAGCTTGCCGGTGGAAAGCCAGGATCGGGGCCCTTCAGGATGAGTGACATAGGGAGCTTTCCCCAGGCACCCATCCTCCCAGCAGCCCTGCGGGGCAGGCTGGGTTCAGAGGCGCCCGTCCAAAGCTCCCCTTTCGGCCTCACTGCCTGTCCTGGCCCGGAGAGAGAGCTTGGCATCGAGCTGTCCCCACCGTCCTCCAGGGCTGGCCGGCCTCCCTCAGCCAGGGTGAGGGCCGCTGGACTGCAGGTGGATGGATCTCGGCCCCTTCCCTGGCCGGCCCCAGGGGTGGCAGCGGCTGGCATGCTGTCCCCATCTATTTTGGTTTTTAATCCGTTGGGGCTTTGCAAGACATGCCTGCCACCCCACACTGCTGCCGCCTGGGTGTCCGGATCCTCCCTCACCCCCCCCCCACAGCCCGACAGGCTGGCCCGCTAATTAAATTCCCTCAAGCCTCGTTTGAGCGGGCTGGTAATGCGAGCCGAGGCCTCTTCTCTCCCAAAGACAAGTCAGGGGTAGGGGGCACACATACCATCGTCCAGGAACCCTGGTCTAGGGAGGTATTTCTGGGTCAGGCGGCGGGCAGGACAGACGGCTCGAAGCGACGGCTGGAGAGAAGGCACGGGGTTTGGGGGCAGGGGTGGAATTGGTGAAGGGCCCCTGAAATAGCACCAGCCCGGGATGGGGAGGGTGACCGGCTGGCGGGCTGTTTGGGGTGTGTCTGGGCCTGCCGCGGAGGGATCCAGGCCCTTCTCTGTCCCCTTTCCACGATGGCCGCTTCCTTGGCTCCCAAGAACGTTCGGCAGCTGGAGGGGGGGTTTCATGGGAAGGCTCGGTTTGCAAGCCTCTTGGACATCAGCTGGCAAAAGGGTGAGAGGGTGGGGGGGTGCAGGTCTGTCACTTTGGGGTGGAGGGCTGGGGCACAGTCTGCAACCCGGGGCCGGCCTAGACTCCTGCATGCGGTTCTGTACGCCCCCGTGGAGGGCAGAGACCCCCGGCCACAGAGGCCGAGGAGGGTGCGAGGGGTGGGTGGGAGGTGGGCCTCCGAATGGTGCAGGTTGGCTGGCTGGCTGGCTGGCTGGGCGGAAGGAACAAGGGCGTTCTTTGTTGGAATGAGAAGACATCCAGAGGGATGGCCGGCTGCCTCTCTCCAGAGGGCTTTGGGCTCAGGAGGGGCAGCTGTGGGTCCCGTTCTCCCCCCCCCAAAAAAAACCCTGAACAGCCCAGCATGGTACAGGGGCCAGGCTAGGGACCCCCCCCGCAACCCTCTCTTGTCTTCCTCCCGGGCCTTCCCACTCTGGAGAGGAGCAGCCGGCTCGTGTGGCTCGGAGGGGAGGGAGGACAGGCGTGAGACCCGTCCGCCCAAGATGCTAAAGAGGGCCGGGGAAAGGGGTCTGGAGGGCCTAATCAGCCTCCCTGCATGTGCGTGTGTGCGTGGGAGAGGGAGAGAGAGGGAAAGAGGCTGTGACAGCGAGAAGCCTCTGGATAATCAACAGATGTTGGGGGGGACTGATGGGTTTGCAGGCTTGGAAGCCCCCTCTTCCGGAGCAGAAGGCCATGGAGAGACCGATGGCTTGGGGGTGGGGTCTGGACACATGGAGCGCAAGGGAGGCTTGGAAGGAAGGAATGAAAGAAGGAACTGAGGATGAGCAGAAGGAAGGATGGAAGGAAGGAAGTTGATGGATGGATGGATAGAAGGAAGGAAGGAAGGAAGGAAGGAAGGAAGGAAGGAAGGAAGGAAGGAAGGAAGGAAGGAAGGAAAGAAAGAGAAGGAAAGAAGGAAAGAAGGAGCTGATGATGGATGGATGAAAGGAAAGAAGGATGGATGTTGATGGATGGATGAATGGATGGAAGGAACGAAGGAAGGAAAGAAGGAAAGAAGGAAAGAAGGAAAGAAGGAAGTAAGGAGCTGATGATGGATGGATGAAAGGAAAGAAGGATGGATGTTGATGGATGGATGGATGGAAGGAAGGAACGAAGGAAGGAAAGAAGGAAAGACGGAAGTTGATGGATGGAAGGAAGGAAGGAAAGAGCTGATGATGAATGGATGAAAGGAAGGAAGGAAACATGGAAGTTGATGGAAGGAAGGAAGGAAGGAGCTGATGATGAATGGATGAAAGGAAAGAAGTTGATGGATGGATAGATGGAAGGAGCTGATGAATGGATGAAAGGAACGAAGGAAGGACGGAAGTTGATGGAAGAAAAGAGCTGGTGATGAATGGATGAAAGGAAGGACGGAAGTTGATGGAGGGATGGAAGGAAGGAGCTGATGATGAATGGATGAAAGGAAGGACGGAAGGGCATGATGAATGGATGAAAGGAAAGAAGTTGATGGATGGATAGATGGAAGGAGCTGATGAATGGATGAAAGGAACGAAGGAAGGACGGAAGTTGATGGAAGAAAAGAGCTGGTGATGAATGGATGAAAGGAAGGACGGAAGTTGATGGAGGGATGGAAGGAAGGAGCTGATGATGAATGGATGAAAGGAAGAAAGGAAGGGTGGAAGGACAGAAGGAGCTGCTTTCTCTCTCTGGCTCCCCAGCGGTTGTTCCTGCTCCCGGCCTCCCGTCTCTGAAGGCAGGGTCTCTCCTGAGAGGAGCCCCCTTCCCATGAGCCCTGCTAGGAGACCCTGCAAGGCAGGAGGGAAGCGCCACAGGTCGAGATGTTGCTCAGACGTCCCCGGGAGACCCTGGACGCTTCCCAGGAGGCCACCCAGTTCTGTCTGGAAGCCCCATCATGCTTCCCCCCCCCGGTCTCTGGTCCCCGGTTCCTCCTTCCCTTTTCCTGGTCCGGCATCCAAGGAGCAATGCAAGGACGCTGCTGCGTGCTCCCCGGGGGGGTGTGTCGATCCCAATCCCCGAGGGTGACCGTTCTTCAGGGATGACAGGCTCGAAAGGCCGTCTCAGAACCGCAAGGACGAGAGAGAAGCTGCCCGGGAACCGGGGGTGGTGGCGGCTGCAGGGCGCTGAGAAAAGTGGGTGCCAAGCAGGGGGCGTGGGTGGGCCGCCCCGGCTGCCCCAAAAGCAAGAGACACTCTCTTGCCTTCAGTCGGGCAGAAGAAAACAAGGGTCACTCCTGGGAATCCTTTGCCTGATGCCCCCCCTTCGGGCCGCCTCTTTCCCTCCTCCCCCCCCGCAAATCGCTGGAGCCCTCCAGGGGTCTTGGGGGCAGTTACAAGTCCCATCGTCCACCCGCCACGGCCTGCCACACGGATCGGCAGTCCGGCCTCTTTCGGATGTTTGGGGCTGCGGCTGGCAGGGGTCTTGGGATCGGGGGGGTGTCCCCATCTGGGGGAAGGTCCCTGGCCCTTGCCCCCTCCTGGCGCAGAGGCTGGGGGTGCTGTGAGAGGCAGCAGAAGGCAGGGTGGAAAGGGATTAAGTGGAAGGGGGTGGGAGGCCTGCCTCTGCGCCGTGGCGGGTGACTCAACGACCGCCAAAGAAACCAGCCTGGCATCGTCTGTGTTGTTATTCTCCGGCAGGGATTTCTCTGGCTTCCCCGAGCGGCTTCTCACAGCCGAGAGAGCAGCCGGCCTTTGGCAGTTCTTAATACGTTTCGGTGGGTTTGCTTAACACTCATGCACGCACGCACACACACACACACAGGGAGGAGGAGAGTAAGAATTCTGGAAAATCTCTCTTTTTTTCTGGTGCAGTCCACGGCGCCTGGTGTGCCTCCGAGGAGCCCTCCAGCTGCCTGTCTCGGCCTGTTTGCCACGCTTTCCAGCACCGTTGGGGAAATCCAAGTGGGCAGCTGGTCTCCTTCCCCTGCATGTGCCGGACTTTTGGAGGGAGGGAGCAGAGGGCGGTGGGGCTTGGCGCCCCCAGGTCCCTGGCAGAGGCAGCTGGGAGACTGTGGCCTCTCAAACAGCCCATGCCAGCCGGTGGGGCTGGCCAGGCGCAGCCCACGGGCACTTTTGCCCCCATTCAGGCTGACCTTCCTTCCTTCCTTCCCTCCTTTTCTCAAAATGAAATTTCAAAGATAACCGCAGCTGGCAAGGGACGAAGAAACGGTGGCGGAAAGGGCATCCGCATGACGTCCACCTAAAGGAGATCGTTTCGGTGGCTGGCATCTTGCCCTCGGTCTGCTGGGGTTGACAGAGATGGTCCACGTACTCCCGTGCCCACAGCCGGCGATGTCGGGCAGCTGCAAGTTGCCCACCCTCTCTTGCCGGAGGCCACTGTGAGCCGGCGCCATGAAAGACGTCTTCCCCAGTCGGCACTGGGAAGGGTGGGTGGGGTTGGAATGGTAAACCGTGGCACCTGCCACGACTCTGCCCCACGGAGCCTCAGTGGGGCTACCCTTGCTTCGTCCCTGGCTCCCCCCCGCCCGCACCTCACCCCCCTCCACTGAATGCAAAGCTCTGGGGGTTGTTATATAATAATATAGGAAGAGGTTGGGGGGGGGAGAGAGGGAGAACCACAGGAAGGGAAATGGAGTTGATGCAGAACCGGTGGCTGTCTCTCTCTGCTTCTCCCCCTCCCTCCTCCTCCTCCTCCTCTAAAGAGGGGGAAATGAGCCCAAAGTATTTTTAGCCTCCTCGAAAGGGTGGGGGTTGGTAGGGGGGGAGAAGAGCGAGAGGGCTTTGCATTATTTCTCAAGGGCGGTCAGTTCTTAATCCATAATCTACAAAGAATGGGGGATTTGGCCACGGCAAGATCTCGCTCGCCCTCCACACACATACACACATGTGAAATCTGCCTGGGAAATGTTGTGAACTGGGGAGACTGGCACTGAGGGGGGGGGAGTAGAATCCTGTCTGCTATCAGGAACCCCCCCCCAAAGGCAGCCTGGGGTCTCTAAGAGGTGGGGAGGCATAGGTGGATGGCATCCAAGGAAGCTCCCCAGTTATATCTCGTTCCTCTTCCTCCTCCTCCTCTTCCTCCCTCTTGCTCTCAAGCCCTGGAAGAGTTTGAAGCCACTTTCTCTCTCTCTCTCTCCCCACCACCACCCAGGCGCATGGGAAGATGGTAGGGCTTCCGTAGGACCATGCGGCACACGATGACCGGTGGATGTCTCCTCGCCCTGGTCTTCCACTGCGCTCTCTTCCTGAGTGCGGCTGCCCCGGCTACGGCCTGCCCGGCCCGCTGCGAGTGTGCGCCGCCTCTCCGGTCGGTCCTCTGCCACCGCAAGCGCCTCACCGCCATCCCCGAGGGCATCCCGACCGAGACCCGGATCCTGGAGCTAAACCGGAACCGCCTCCGCTGCCTCAACGCGGGGGACCTGGCCCCGTTCCCACAGCTGGAGGAGCTGGATGTCAGCGAGAACCTCCTCACCCACATAGAGCCGGGCGCCTTCAGCCACCTCGGGAGCCTCCGGGTGTTGCGGCTGCGCGGCAACCAGCTCAAGCTCCTTCCGCCGGGCATCTTCGACAAGCTCTCGAACCTCACGCTCCTGGACCTGAGCGAGAACAAGATCGTGGTCCTCCTGGACTACACGTTCCAGGACCTGAGGAGCCTGACACAGCTGGAGGTCGGGGACAACGACTTGGTCTACATCGCCCGGAAGGCCTTCTCCGGCCTGGTCAGCCTCCCACAGCTGACCCTCGAGAGGTGTAACCTGACGGACCTCTCGGCCGAGTCACTGTCCCGCCTCCGGGGCCTCGAGGTGCTCCAGCTGAGGCACCTTGGTGTGGCCTCGGTGGCGGACCAGAACTTCAAGCGGCTCTCCCGCCTCCGGAGGCTGGAGATCGACCACTGGCCCTTCCTGGAGGAGATCCCGGCCGACGGCTTCCAGGGGCTGAACCTCACCTCCCTCTCGGTCACCTACGCCAACCTCTCCGGGGTGCCGAGCGCGGCCTTGAGGACCTTGGGCCACCTCGTCTACCTGAACCTCTCCTACAACCCCATCAGCACTGTGCCCCGGGGTGCCTTCCGGGACCTCCTCCGCCTCCGGGAGCTCCACCTGGTGGGGGCCCTGCTGGTCTCGGTGGAGCCCCAGGCCTTCTACGGCCTGAGGCAGGTCCGCCTCCTCAACCTCTCCGACAACTTCTTGCCCACTTTGGAGGAAGGGGCCTTCCACTCGGTCAACACCCTGGAGACCCTCCGGGTGGACCAGAACCCCTTGGTCTGCGACTGCCGGCTCCTCTGGATCGTCCAGCGGAGGAAGACCCTCGACTTTGACGGACAGCCGCCCATGTGCTCCTCGCCGCCCGAGATCCAGGGGGACGCCCTGCGCGCCTTCCCGGACTCCGTCCTATTTGAGTACTTCACCTGCCAGAAGCCCACCATCCGCGACCGGAGGCTACAGCACGTCACGGCCTACGAAGGCCAGGCCGTCTCCTTCCTGTGCCGGGCGGAAGGGGAGCCGGTGCCCTCCATCAGCTGGGTCTCTCCTCAGCACCGGATGATCTCCAGCCGGAGCCACGGGCGGGTGGCCGTCCTGCCCAGCGGGACCCTGGAGATCCGCTACGCCCAGGCCCAGGACAGCGGGACGTACATATGCATCGCCAGCAACGCGGGGGGCAATGACACCTACTTCGCCACCCTGACGGTCCGAGGGCCCTCCTCGGCTGATGGCAGCCTCTCCTACGCCAACCGGACCTTGTACTTTGGCGAGTTCAACGACACGGCCCACAACGACACCCGGGTGGTCCTCCGGTTCACCTTGGACCTGAAGACCATCTTGGTCTCCACTGCCATGGGGTGCATCATGTTCCTTGGGGTGGTCCTTTTCTGCTTCCTCCTCCTCTTCGTCTGGAGCCGAGGGCGGGGGCAGCACAAGAACCACTTCTCGGTGGAGTACTCCTTCCGCAAGGTGGACGGCCCCGCCACGGCCGCCGGCCAGGGGGGCGCCCGGAAGTTCAACATGAAGATGATCTGAGCCTCACCCCTTGCGGGTGGGAGGGGAGAGGAGGCCGGCAGACGGTGGGTGGTGGGTGGGTGGGAGTAGCACCCGGTGTGCAGGAGGGAGGGGCAGGAGGAGGCAGGGCCAAGGGTTGGCGGTCTCAGACACGGCTGGAAGCCTTAGGTGGCAGCGTGGCCTCTTCAGGACAGGAATCCTGGCACTCGCAGCTCCTGCCTGGCTGGGGTGAAGAAGGCCAGGGCCTTCTTCCTCCTCCTCCTCCTCCATTCCCCTGTTGGAGTGGCTCTTATCTAGCCCGGGGAGGGTGCACCCCAGTCTTCCACGGGGGGAATGGGTTTCGTGGGGGGGGGTACAACCGCATTTGGGATTGCACACCAATGTCGCCCTTCCCACACTTATGGGGGGGAGACTAAGGCAGGTGCCCCCAACAGCAGGCGGTCATTGGCCCACCAGTGCCCTCCGCTTCAGACAGCGGCCCTCCCTCTCTGTCTGGAGCGGCCTCTGTGTGTGTGTGTGTGTGTCTTTGTGTGTCTGTGGAGGCTGCAGCCACAGACCCTCTGAGCTCCGCTGTCACTGTGCTTCCAACCTCTCTCCCCCTGCGCATGGGACAACCTCCCCCCCCCGTGATGCCTCCTGGTCTGGAGGAGGCGCGCATGCATGCACACCATGTGTGATTTTGGACCGTGTCCCCCTCCCTGTCGCTGTTTTGGTTTGTCCGGATCAACTATGCATTTCTCCAAACCCACCCCCCTCGGCGAGCGTTCCCGGACAAAAGCCCCTCCCTTTTTTAAGGTGATCCTTTTTGCAAACATGGGGGACGGGAGGAGGGAGAGAGTTTTCCAGTTTTTAAACCGTTTTCTATGCACGCAGGATGGGCTTCTTTGGAGTCCAAACCACTGGGGGCGCCTCGTGCCGGGGCTCGCCGACCCCCCATCGCAGCTGGGCTGGGAGAGGCTGGGCCTTGCTGGGCCCTGGGTGGCATTTTTAATTGGGGAGGGGGGAGGAAGGACAAGTGTTCTCGGTGCCTGGAGAGCCCCCCCCGCACAGCAATAACCCACTTTTATTCCACGTTGCCAGCTGGATTCAGACACGCATGCACGCGTTCTCACACCCGTGGCAGCACAGAGGACTCAGCTCACTGCCCCCCCTTGGCCTTGTGTCATCCCCCCCTTGCAAAAAGAAAAAAAGAATCTGTCGTCCCTGGGGTCTCCGCATAGCCTCCCCCCAAATCTTCGGAGATTTGGGGTCTCGTCTGTCCCTCCCCCCCCCCAAATCTTCCACAGGTCTGGCTTGCAAGAAGAAGGGCAAAGCCGGGCTCCCAATTCCAGGCAGAATCACAGCCTTGGGGTGGGGTGGGGGGCTGAGGCCTGTGGGGCTCCGTGGCCCACCTCCCCATCTCAGGCAGCGGCATCCAGAGGGCAGCTTCCCTGCCCCCTCCCCCCTGGCCTTGAGGGGAGCCAAAGAGCAGAGCGCCCCCCTCCGTGTTCCCATAGGGTGGGAGGGGGCAGAGAGGGGGCAGAGTGGGTCCCCCGGGACTCCCCCTGGGTGACGGCTTGGCTTGCTGCCGGGTTCCCCCCCCCCCCGCTTGTGGTCTCAGGCTCTCCTCCTTCCCGGCTGCATTTGCCCCCCAGGAGCCGTGCAGCCAAGAGGCCTTCGCCAGCCTGGAGCTGGGAGGAAAAGGAAGCCCACCTGGGAAGCCAGCCTTCCTCTCTGCGCAGCTGAGACATGATGCGGAAGAAGGGGAGCAGAAAGGGGAGAAGCGGGCTCTCTGTGTGTGTTTGTGTGTGTGTTTTGCACACACTTCCAGACATAAGCTGGAAGACGATGCCTGTGGATGCTAAATGTATTCTTTATGCCACGTGAGGTTGCAGCCGACATATTTCCTGGCATCTGTTTCGGGCTCCACTGAAAACACCAACTGGCAGGCGCAGGCAGGGGGTGGGTGCGTGGGGAAGAGGATCTTCTTCTTGACAAGAGGAAATTATGATTTTCAGGAGAGAGAGAGAGAGAGAGAGAGAGAGAGAGGAAGGAGGTCAGCGGAGGGAGGCGGAAAAGGGGGGGGAGGCAGCCTGCTGGACTGGCTTCAGTGCGTTTTCCCCTCTGGAGAAAGGTGTGGGTCCCGAACCGTGCCAGCTGGCTCTCGCTCGCTCGCTCTTGCAAGATGCAAAGTCCCCCCCCCGGCTTCTGGTGCACCCCCTGACCCACACGGGGCAGAGGTCTGCTGGCAAAGGGCCGAGATAGCCAAAACCAGCTTCTCCAGCCAGCTGGGAACCACAAGGACTTTCCTCCAAGAAGGGAGCTGGCGGGACCCTGGCAGGCGGGCAGGCTCAGCCTTGACCGTGGCTTCTGAGGCCAGCCTGTGACTGGAGAGGAAGGCCATGCAGGACGCATTGGCCCTGGCCAGTGCCTGGAGGCACACGGACCCACACTGGCCTTCGTACCCTCGGGGGAGTCGTGCTAGGCAGAAAGGCAGATGCGGCTGGGGAATCCGAAAGCAGGGACCGGTAACACAGCCCTGTGTTGTCAGACGTACACTCCCCCAAATGCATCGCTGTTCCCCCAAAGGGCAGGGAGAAAGTCGGGTCAGGACCAGGCAGAGAAGGGCCGTTTCGCCTGGGGCAGCTTGTGAAGGTGGCAAGGGCGGCTCAGAGGGGCAGGAAATGTCAAAGGCCCCCCTCCCTCCCAGCTGCCCCTTCCCCAGAACCCTGGCCCCTCCTGAGCCAAGCCAGGAAGAAGGCACCCGGTGGGCATACAGAGGGAGGGAAGGGGGGGCCCTCGCAGGGAGGGGACTGCTGGATCGCTTCCACTCAAACGAAGAGAGAACAGAGCCGGAGGGGGACAACGACATGTGGTGTGAGTGTCGGGGGGGGGAGCAATGAGGAGAGGATGTAGAGAATCTGAACAGCCAAGACTGTAAAAGCCCCTCCTTTTTTTCTCCCTGTGGAACACTGTGTTTGTAGAGCAAACAAGACTTTTTATATGTATCGATGCATGAATTAACCAGGAAAACATTGCATATACATCGATATAATGGGCATATCTGCGTCTCCTGTGTGGTTTTTCCTGGTACGTATTTGGGCCCCAGCTTTGGCTTGGCCTGGAAGATGAGAGGGGATGGGGCTCGGCCCCCTCCCCTCAAGCAGAGCCTTCTCGCCTCCAGCCTGATGTTCGGGGCTAGAGGCGGCTGGCTTGGATGCCGCGGAGCATTATTCTGTACCCCACGGCCCAGCGTCTCCACAGGGAGTCAGGTCCCCCTGGGCTGGCAGCCCTCCGCCCCACGGCTCCTACTGCCTCAATATGTGGCCTGGTGCTACCTCTGCAAGAAGGGGGTGCAGGGAAGGAAGGAAGGAGCTGAGGATGGGTGGAAGAAAGGAAGAAAGAAAGAGAGGAAGGAGCTGAGGATGGGTGGAATGAAAGGAGGAGGTGATGATGGGTGGGAGGAAGGAAGGAACTGATGATGGGTGGAAGGCAGGAGCTGAGGATGGCGAAGAAAACCTGATGGGAAAGGTAGCCCAGCGGCAGCCGAGGCCAGAAAATGGTGCCCAAGCAGCACAACTGAAAAGGGAAGTAAGGATGGAGCCAAGACCTGACCCAGCGGTGGATCCTTCTTGCGGAACAGTCCTTGCATGGTGTCTCCTGAACACAGAAGCCAAGAAACCTGCAGGCCTCTCTCCTTCCTGTCAGCTGTATCCACCCTTTCCATGGCCCCTCCAGTACCGAGTGATGGGTGGACGAGCTGCTGGCAGAGACCCCCAGGCTCTCAAGAAGCCTCTTCCACCTCCATTTGGGGTTTTTCCCTCTGAACCCCAAGGAGGCTCAATCAATCAATGAACCTGAAATGGGGTGCCCTTGGCAGGGGCCCCTCCTGCCCACGGGAGCCTGGACGGCCTCCTCCCCGGGATCAGGAGGAAGGGATGTTTTGGGTTCAAGTCCTCCCTGACCCAGCAATCACAAACGACGCGCGGGGTGGGGGTGGGGGTGAGAAGAGATGCCCCCAGCAAGGTCCCTGCTGCCTGAGGCAGGCGAGACGGGGCAGCTCCCATCATCCGCGAAGCCCCAGCCTGCCTAAGGAGGGCTGGAACCCAAGGCGGGGAGGGGGCGTGCCCGAGAGAATTCAAAAGCCGCCCGGGCTCCTGATTGGCTGCCGCCGCCGACAGACATGCCGGAAGCGTAGTCTTTCCGTCGCTTTTCCTCCGGGGAAGGGGGACTCGGAGGAAGGGGCCTCCCAGAAATGTAACTTTTCCAAGCCCTTCTCCTCCTCCTGCTGGGCGCTGGCCTCAGGGGGGCCACGGTCGAGGCTTCTGGCCTGCGGCGGAAGGGATCCAGCCGGCCCGTCTGCAGAAACTCAGAGGCCCCCTGGGCGGAAGGGAGCCCCCCACACTTATATAAGCAGCCTGGAGCCAGCCCGCGGGACTGCCCGAGACTGGGCCAGGCCTCTTTGGGGGGGGCCCTCGGGAGCCCCTCCCTTTGGGTCTCTCTGTGCATGTCTGGTGGAGATGTTTCACACGTGGAAGCTTTGAACCGTCTGAGCCTGGGCGGCGGAGCCCCTGGGGCGACAAAATGGCGGCTGGCGGCCGCGAGGAGGACTCCAGCCCCCAGGATGCCCCGGGCGGCGTTCAGCCCTCCTCTCCCACCGCCGATTGGCGCCCTTTGGAGGCGGGGGGGGGCTAGGAAAGGGGGGGAAAGAGAGAAATAAAAAACTCGGTTTCCCGTGGTGCCCCGCGCACGGGGTGTCCGTTGGCGCGCTCGGCCGCCATTTTGTCGCCTGGCCGCCGCCGCTTCCCGCGCGCCCGCCCGGATTGAATGAGGAGGAACGGCAGCCGTTTCTAAAACCTCCGCCGGCGCCGCCATGGCCTCCTCCTCCTCGGGCCTTCCTCCGGGCACCCCTCGCCCGGGGCCTTCGTCCTCCCCGGGGACGCCGCTGTCTCCGGCGAGGATTTCGCGGCTGCAGGAGAAGGAGGAGCTGCGGCAGCTGAACGACCGGCTGGCCGTCTACATCGAGCGGGTCCGGGCGCTGGAGCTGGAGAACGACCGGCTGCTGCTCCGTGTCTCCGAGAAGGAGGAGGTCGTCACCCGGGAGGTGGGACTGGGGGGGAAGGCGCCCCCTCCAACCCCTCCCCCTGCAGAAGGGGATCTCCCTGCGGAGGGACTACCTCTCCCATCAGCCCCCCCGCCCGTTGGCCCTTGGAGATTGGGGGGGACGTCTTTGTGGCTTCGGGCCCCCCTCCCTCCTCTTCCTGGCCGGGAGGGAGGGACCGGGAGCTCTTTTGGAAAGAGGGGAGGGGAGTTGCTGGGCAACCCCCCCAGTCCTGCCAGTCCCTCCACTCCCTCCTCCCCCCCCAGCCCCACTGACGGGGGTCGAGGTCCCCAAGCAGAAGAAGCCCAAGCCGGGCCTCTCCGTCCCCGGAGATTGCGGCGGGGGGGGGGGGAGGGGGGGGGAAATCTGCCATGGCCCTCTGAGTCCGGGTGGGTGTGGGGAGTTGGCATTCGGTGCCCCCACGTGTGTGCCCTTCTTTTCCTGCCTTGCCATTTTTTTCTTTCATTTCTCTTTGTTTTGCTTTTTTTCTTGCTTGCTTTCCTTTCTTTTTCTTTCTTCCTCTCATTCTTTCTTTCCTGAGATCCTCCCTCTGCTGGATCTCAGCCACCATTCGGAGGGTGGGTGGGGTGGAGGTGCTGGCTTTGGCCCCATTGGCCTCAGGGACAGGAGGGCACCAGCCGCCCTCTGGGCAAAGGCCTGCCGGTCCTTCTCCCTTTGGGGCTCCCGGGAGCAGAGAGTGTGAGACGGGCGGTGGGAAAGGCCCAGCAGGTGCCCAACGAGGCCAATCCCCCCCCCCCCAAAAGCCAAAACTACACACAGACACTAGCAGACAGAGAGCAGGCAGGCTCCAGGAGCATGGGCTCCAGGGTCTGACTGCTCTGGTGCCAGCCACGCGCATTCGGCAGCCGCCTGGCACAGCCTTAAGCAGGACACACACACCCCCCCGCCACTGTCTTGCCTGCTTTGAATGACTGTCCCATTTCACGCTAGCCCAGTGTGCGGTTCAGATGTGAATGTTGCTTTCTTTAAAGGGTAGGTCCATCACCTCCCTTATTTTGGGGTGTGCCAGTCTGGAGGACTGGGCTGGGGTCCCACTCAGAAGGGGCTCCTCCATGTCCCGGCCCTCGGTGGGCGAGGCTGCCTCTTTTTTACGTGGCGGGTCGAGGAGGGCCTGGGGACACGAGACAGCCCCCCACCTATCTCACATCCTTCAGGTTTGTGGTGGAAGGACCTCTGTGCCCATTTGGCCCTCGCCAGCCAAGGGTAGGGCTGTGAACCCTGGCCCTGCCCTTTGGAACTTTGGCAACCCCGGCTGTGATCTTTGCTGGCCCATTTTGAGCCTCTTTGAACGCCTTCAGGGTCACTGCTGTTGTCTTCTAACACCTTTAGTGGCGGAGTTGCTGTGGCCATCAAGGCGATCGGTGCTTTTGTGTGTGTGTGTGTGGGGGGGGTGTAGGCAGAGCCTGAAGCGGCCCGGCCCTGGCTTGGGGGCTTCAGCGCTCCCTTTGCTTTTCCCTGCAGGTGACGGGCATCAAGGCCCTGTACGAGTCTGAGCTGGCGGATGCCCGGCGGGTCCTGGACGAGACCGCCCGGGAGCGGGCAAAGCTTCAGATTGAAATCGGGAAGCTGCGGGCCGAGCTGGATGAGCTGAGCAAGAGGTAGGAGGAAGGGCGCCTTCCCGGACGATCGAGGGGGGTCCGAGGGACTGCGTTTGTTGGGTCGGGGTCCCCTCAGTGAAAGTGGGCCAGGAAGGCAGAGCAGGAAGGACCCATGGGGGCGAGAAGCACCTGCCCCCTCGTGTGGGCTGCAGAGGGTGGTGGGTGGTGGTGGTGATGGTGGGGCTCTGATCCAGGGAGCTGGCTGGGTAGCCCAGCTCTGCACATTTTTAGCATTCCATGGCCATCTTGGGAGGAGGGAGGCCGTCCGCCAGATCTTTTGCTCTTTGCCTGGCACAGAGTGGTGCTGAGGCCCAGCTCGGTTCTGGTGCCTGAGACGGGAGGTTGGTTTTATTTAGGGAGAGGCCAGCTGGGGAGCCTTCGGGGAGGAAAAGTCAGGGGAAATTGCCCAGGGAATTGCACCCGGGCCACACTGGCTATGGAGTCCTGGGGAGGGGGGGAGCAGAATCGCCTTCACTCCGAAGGGCTGAACTGCCCACAGCGACCTCTCCTTCTCGCCCCTCCAGCTACCAGAAGAAGGATGGGGAGTGGTCCACCTCGCAGGGCCGCATCAAGGAGCTGGAGGTTCTCTTCCACCGGAGCGAAGCTGAACTCACCACCACCTTGACTGAGAAGCGCAACCTGGAGGCCGAGGTGGCCGACCTGCGAGCGGAACTGGCCAAGGTTGGTGGCTGGGAGAGCCACGCTCTTGGGGGGGGGCAAGGGGTGGATCAAGCAAGCAGAGAGGCTGAGAAGGGAGCAGAGCAGCCAGCCGCAGGCCTGGGCTGTGTGAGGCAGGCTTTCTCTCCTCTGACAGGGTGGTGGTGGTGGTGTGTGCAAGATAGTTGAGGCCTCGTTCTTGGTTTCTGTGGCAAGAGGGAAAGTGTCCCCTCCTCCTCCCCTCCCATGTCTGGCGTTGCGGCTGTGGCTGGGACAAGGACTTAAAGCCACCTTACCCAGCTACCTTTCCTCCCTGGATGGTGGGGACACTTCCTTAAAAGTGCAGAACAGGGTTGAATCAGGCCACAAGGCAAATGGACGTGTGCCTACCCTGAGGAGAGTCTCTGGATCAGTTTGAAGATTGCAGGATCTCCTGGGAGAGGGATCCAGTCCCTTCCGTGAGCAGCCACCCTCCCTCTGCTGAGCTGTCCACCAAGCTGGACAGAGGTTGAGCTGCTGGTGCTTCTCTCTTAGGGAGTGGCGGGGGGGCTGGCTCCAGGGGACGAACCTTTGGGGTGGCTGCTCCCCACTCCCACTGCTGCCTTCCCTCTGCCCTCCCTCTGACCCTTGACCCTCCCCCCCTAGTCAGAAGAGGCCCACGCGGTGGCCAAGAAGCAGTTGGAGAAGGAGACCCTCTTGCAGGTGGACCTTGAGAATCGCTGCCAGAGCCTGCAGGAGGAGCTGGACTTCCGCAAGACCATCTTTGAGGAGGTGGGCTGAAGGAGGGGGCTTACTCAGCCTGCAACAGGGGGTGTGGGTGTGGTGGGTGGGGCAGTGAGCCTGAAGTTTCTGTGGGCAAGTAGGGAGGAAAGGCTGAACAAGAGGGGTCTGTGGCCCTCGGGGTGGACGGAGGGAGGGGTGCGTTCGTGCTTGTCTTTGCTGTGGGCTTTGAGCTCTGCGTTTGCTGGAGAGGAGGGTCTCTGCTGGGGGAGTGGAGGCTCGGGGGTTCTCCGTCACTTAAGTTGTGAGATTCCCTCTGTGTGTGTGTGTGTGTGTGTGTGTGTGGCTTGGCCCCCTCAGGAAGTGCGGGAGACCCGGAAGTGGCAGGAGCGCCAGCTGGTGGAGGTGGACAGCAGCCGCCAGCAGGAGTACGAGTCTAAGATCGCCCAAGCCCTGGAGGACCTCCGGAGCCAGTATGAGGGGCAGATCCAGCTTTACCGGCAGGAGCTGGAGGACAGCTACCAGGCCAAGGTGAGCCAGGAGGGGGAGAGGGGGGCGATTGAGAAAACCACTCCCCATATCGATGGCTTTGCAGCTCTGGCTGTTGTTGAGCTAGGACCGGTGTGCAGGGAGAGGCCGCCTCTTCCAAGGGCCGGGCTTCCTCTCCTTCGGAGCCTGGCCCAAGCATGACCAGCCCCCTTTGGTTCTCTTTCCTAGCTGGAGAATGCCAAGCTCTGTTCCGATCAGAATGACAAAGCGGCCAGCGCTGCGCGGGAGGAGCTGAAGGAGGCCCGCGTGCGGATTGAGTCCCTCTCCTATCAGCTCTCGGGCCTGCAGAGGCAGGTGAGTCCAAGAACCCCCTACCTGGGGCTCCAGTTTGAGCAGCGGTGGTGGGAGTCTCCCAGTAGGAAGGGCCTCCACGGTCTTTCCTCCAGCCCGTCTTTCATTGGGACAGGTGCCCCCGGAGGAGCCCTGCACCTTCGGTCCCAAGGGCCCTTTGGCTGTCTCAACGCCTTTCTCAGTCCCCGCTTAGCGCTTTCTCTCTCTAGGCAAGCGCAGCTGAGGAGCGGATCCGGGAGCTGGAGGAGCTGATGGCCGGCGAGCGTGAGAAGTTCCGAAAGATGCTGGATGCCAAAGAGCGGGAGATGACCGAGATGCGGGACCAGATGCAGCAGCAGTTGATGGAGTACCAGGAGCTGCTGGACGTCAAGCTGGCCCTCGACATGGAGATCGGTGCCTACCGGAAGCTGCTGGAAGGGGAGGAGGAGAGGTCAGTGCGCCCTGGGGGTGGCCAGACGAAGCAGGCTTTGATCACGGGTGGGCCTGGGACATACCCACTCCTGGCCCTCCTGGAGTGGCCACGGCTCTCCCGGCCCTGGGCGGGGTGGCCCATCTTCACTTCCTTGCTTCCCCCCCCCTCCTGCAGGCTGAAGCTTTCCCCGAGCCCCCCGTCACGCATCACGGTCTCGCGGGCCACCTCCTCCAGCAGCGCTTCGGCTGCGCGCTCGTCCCGGGGGAAGCGGAAACGGGTGGAAGCCGAGGAGCTCTCAGGCAGCTTCTCCAGTGGGATCGGGACTGGGAGTAGCAGTGCCACCAGCAGCACTGGCACCGGCACCAGCACCCGCTTCCAGGTGACGCAGCAGGCCTCGGCCAAAGGCAGCATCAGCATCGAGGAGATTGACCTGGAGGGGAAGTACGTGCAGCTGAAGAACTGCTCCGACAAGGTAGGGGGACGGGAGTGTGTGTGTGTGTGCATGAGGGGGGAAGAAGAGAGAGAGAAGGTAAGCATTCAGTCCCCAGGGCCAGACAGAGAGGAAGGATCCTGGTCCCCCTGCAGTGCTCTTGACAAGCCTCCCTCTGCGTTGTCTTCTCCTCTCTGGGCAGGATCAGTCCCTTGGGAACTGGAGGCTAAAGAGGAAGATCGGGGACGGGGAGGAGATTGCCTACAAATTTACCCCGAAATATGTTCTGCGGGCCAACCAGACGGTCACTGTGAGTTTGGCTTCTTGCTTTTTGGGGAGGGCTTTCTCCAGGGTGGGGGGATGTCTGCCTCCATTCATTCTGGAGGGCCCCTGGGGGGGGAGCAGCGGTGGGGAGGTGATGGCCTGCCAGCTCCTTGCTTCTGCATCCACAGCGCTCTGGCTGCTGTACCATCTTGAACCCAGATCCGTCGGGCCTCCCCATTGTGCTGCTTGGTCCTCCTTCCACTTGGGCACGTTGGGTGGGATGACGCCAGGCTGATCCGGAGGGTGGCAGGACGGGGGTTATGTGTCTGCCCAGGGCTGGGCTGTGGATGGGGGAGAGGGTTCCAGGATCTGGGTCCAAGGCAGGATCCCGTGGCCTTGGCCACTCCAACGACCTGACCGCCTGCCCTCCTCTTCCTCCTCTTTCTTGGCCACATGGCTTGTTAGATCTGGGCTGCCGACGCTGGCGTGGCGCACAGTCCGCCCTCGGTCCTGGTGTGGAAGAACCAGAGCAGCTGGGGCACCGGAGCCCACATCCGCACGTACCTGGTGAACTCAGAGGGCGAGGTGCGTCCTTTTCGGGGTGGAGTTTCTGCCCAACGTGACACCCTTCGAGGG